CTGTCAATAACCTCAAACTATCGAACATCAGTCAAGTCAGTAAAAGAATAAAGTCTGTAAAAATAAATCCTTGCTGTTGTTGCATGAACTATTATGTAAGAACAGCTGCGCAACTTTATCTGAGCATGATTGTATCAATGTTGGGGGAAACTTCACTTAATTTGATATGGTTATTAGCAATAAGTTGTACTCGGGACGTTATCCAATGAATAATACTCTGTCACTGTAGAGTCAAGGATGCACATTGTCTCCATTCTTATTCAATTTCATCATAGATATTCTTATGGAGGTCTCCCTCTAATTACCAGGTTACACAGACGTTGACCTAATCGGTGGAGAATTTTCGCTAGGCCCAGAATATGCAGATGACAGTCCTGTTAAGGGAAGACGCTGACAAGATGCAGAGTCTTCTGAACACTTTGAGTGGGAATCTGAGAATGTTTAGGACGCGGTTCTCACCACTGAAATGCAAATGTTTGGTTCATAATTGGTCTTCAGCTGTGCCACAGTTAACAATAGAGAGTGAAGTGGTTGAGTGTGTCGACCACTTCACTTACCTGGGAAGTAAGATCAGCCCTGGTGGCTCAGTTGCCTATGAAATCTTTACACGGATACAAAAGGCTCAGTTGGCTTTTGCCAATTTACACCACCTATGGCGCCGCCATGATATCCGATTGCATAATAAGGGTCGCGTGTACTGCACAACAATCCGGTGTGTTCTACTGTATGGCTGTGAAACATGGCCACTGAAGGTGGAAGACATGAGAAGGCTTCAGGTGTTTGATCACCGTTGCCTTATTAGTATAGACTGTATTCCGTAGTGTCACCATGTGAGTGAGTAATGCAGAAGTCAAGATTAGAGTTTTAGGGAGTCAGTCAGGGAGGGAGTCAGTTGACACGGCTGTGAACCTTGATTGCGTGAGATCGGTGTTTGGGACACGTGTTAGTTATGCCTAGTCGTGGTCTGCCTCGTCACACAATGTTGGTTGAGAAGTAGGTTCAGAGTGGAAAAAGGGTGGAGGCTCTCGGTCAGACTAAAACATGGCATCAATGTATGAAGTGTTTGACTGTTGGTTTGAGCCATGTGGGGATTGATGCAGACTGAGTGGTTTGTATCGGTGGGACAAGAGAAACTAGTGGTTGGAGACTGACTGCAGGGGATATGGCTCAGATGTATACACACATTATTTTCATCTTAACGATGCTATACCGATTCTCACTATTTTGTCATACTTTCTTTTCTTACTTTATATTTCCTTTGACTGCATTCTCTTATTTTCATCTTCCACTTGACTGCCTTTTTACTTGATGTAGTGATATGAGGTGTGGCAACTCGGACCGTTACTCAGTAGTGCCTGATCCTATATTGATATTGGTGATGATGATGATGATGATGACTGTAGAGTATTCTAGTCACTGTGACTGGCAATTCGAGAATGTTTGTGATGCGTTTAGCGCCATACAAATGCAAATTATTGCTCCAGGACTGGTCTTCAACGGTACTCCGAATAACAAAGGCATTGAAGTGGTTGAGTGCGTTGAACACTTCACTTGTCTGGGAAGTGGGATCAGCCCTGATGGGTCTGCGGCCGACGATGAATCTGCATGAATATAAAAGGTTCAATTGGTTTCCGCCAACTTATGCCTTCTGTGGTACCGCCACGCTATCCATTTGTCTATTAATGGTCAAGTGTACAGTGTCACAGTTCACTCACTCTGTTCTAATGTTTGGTTGTAAAATATGGTCATTAAAGATGGAAGACATGAGAAGTTTTGAGGTGTTTCACAACTGTTGCCTTTGTGGTTATATGCCATGTTTCATGGTGTAACCACGTGAGTAACTCAGAACTGGACCGTAGAGTTTAGAGAGGAGAGATAAGTCAGTTGATGTAGTTGTGAACCTTCATCGACTGAGATAGTTGGAACATATTCTATGCATGCATATTCACCATTTGCCTTGTCGTGTATTTTTAGGTGAAATAGGTTCAGACTAGAAGAAGGCTTGGAGCAGTCAGACAAAGTTGGTTTGAACCTTGTTGGGAGATACAGACTAGCTTGTTAGTGTGGTTATAAACTCTAGGTGATATGCCTAGAAAGTGTTCTTATTGTCGCGGATGTATCCACTCACACTTAAGCATTTTTTTCATTCTTCTTTCCTCTTCTTTCCTACTTTATACTGCTCTTAACCAATTCTTCTTTATTTCTTCATCTTTCATCTTATTCCTTTGTTACTTCATATGATGATATTAAGTATGGTTACTTGAAACTTTGCATAGTACTACCTAGTTGTATGTTGATATTGATAAACAGTTTAGAGGACTATCGATAAATGTACAACTTTAAGTCATCAATTACATGAGCTTATCAATTTAAAGTTGAAGTGACTAAACTTTATCAGTTTCCATTGAAGATAAATCCATATTTCAATGAATTTGTTAAAGAATCCCTATAATATCAACATTTATTCTGATAGAATTGTTTTTGTTAGCAGATATCTCAGTGTATAGCTTAGTATGTTGCTTGAATCATTCGTCTAATTACTCTTACTTTCAATCAATTAGTCATAGATTCGAACTCCACTCCATCAACCAAATAATATCTCATCTAGTAGACATTAGCTTATTATCTACTGCTTAAGTCAGTATGTATATCGTTAGTGGGTATATTTCAAACTGTAGATTCTACGGGAAACAGTAATATTAGTATATATGAATTGTATAATTTTAAAACTTTATTCAATATAAAATTCACTTATACTTTATTATCTTTCTTGATAGAATAATTCTATTGGACAAGAAACTAGTGCTGTTGCTCCTGTTGGAAATGATCAAAGTGTATTGAAACATTGGATTAATCAACTAGAAACAGAAATTAAACGTTTTAAAGTGGAAAATGCTAATTTAAATAAATTGAAAATAGAAGTTCAAAATGTAAGTTTATTATTCGACTGTATCCATTAAACTTTGTCATATAAAAAATCTTGTTAATTAATATTGAATTTTAAGGGAGTTGTGGAGATTTAGAAATATTTCAAGTTGTTATTCATCGTAGACTGACATCAGGTGAAGGGATAAAAGAAACCTGAGAGCACTGGACAGCTGCTGTTTCGTCCTAGTATAGGACTCCTGAGCAGGGCACACCCACGACCTTCAGGTTCCGTGGTCAAAACGTTACCATTCAGTCACTGGGTCATCGGAATCCACTGGTCCATATTTCCAACTTCTGTTAGCTCAAAATATAGCGCAACCGCCACGCAATGCCATTGTTGAGTAACTATTCGCACGACCATCAGCCTTTTGCCCCCACTGATCATGACTTCTCATTGGAACTTCGAGAATACCTCTGGAAGCTAGTCACCAATGAGCACCAGTTCAATTGGATTTTGAGGGAGTTGTGAAGATTTAGAGACATTTCAAGTTGTTATTCATCATTTATTATACTACAAGATGGATAAATGAAACTTGATTCACTTAAATAATTCATAGAACGTCAATCCAGATTAATGTATTTGACTATGACCTGCGCTCATTGTGTACTATAATTTATTAGTTGAAACAAAGTATCACTAACTTTACCAATTAGCAGATATCTGAAATGGACAGAGAGAAAAAATCAGGCTAAAATATTGCTATACTTCACAGTAGAATATAAAGTAGGTTGGTTAAAACATTCAAGCTTTAAACGACGTTAAAGAGTGAATTCAATTGCACTATTATGACCAATTTTAAGCCATATCACCAAAAGTCTTCGACCACTAATTCCTATCATTTTGGAGACTCCATCCAAGCACTTTACAACTTCCCTATACGTCTCAGATCAACAATCAGACACTTCATAGACTGGTGACACGTTTTAGTCCCACCACCTTGAACCCTCTTCCAACCTTAATCCAACTTTTGCGAGCGTGGTACGTCGAGGTAGACGGAGGTTTGGCATGCGTAACACATGTCCAGGATATCGGAAATGCTTATGATGATCGTTGATATTTTGTTGTGAACGTTTCATCACCACGTGCTACCGATGGCTGCTACCTTCATGTGGTGGTCGGGCTTGTGTATCACAGTGACCCAACGAGCTATGCTGGCTAAAACACTAGTTCGCTCGAGTTGTTACCATGCCAGAAAGGTCTGTTGAATAGAGGTAAGACAAAATGCAGTCACTATTGTAGTGGGAACTAATCAAGTATAATGGGCGCCTGAAGGAGAAATCGTACTGCTGCTAGCTGGATGGTGTATGACAGCAGTAAGGTGTCTACCTTGAATGACTAGCAATGACAAGCTGATGCTACTTTCGAAATGGAAAGTGGGGTTAGAAAGAGTCTGCCAATAACATACCACACTCCTTCATGCCCCTCGGTTTTTTGGTACTCAAGACCCAATCAAACATAATCTCTCCTCTTCAACCCTGTCTCTTCCTTTCCCTTCACCCCCTGATACTAATATTAAGCCTCTTACACTTTACCCAACCTCTCACTCTGCAACCACTGCCAACCATCAAAACTATTGAAACCTTATTCCTAGTCAGCTAAGACCCCGTCATCGATTTTATGTCAGAGCTTTCAACATCCAAACCCAATGCGAAATCGGACACCAAGCATCAGTCACTAAATTCTAGAATATCTAACCATAGGTGTATGTTGTGTCTTTGAGACACGTATACAGGACCGTAGTGTGGTCATTAAATTGACCTCACCTGACCGAAGTGGTGAATCTGCGAAATTCACCTTAAGAGTATCCGAAGACCCAATGGCTAACTTTCGTGGACTCAGTGGAGTAGGCATAGCATTGAGTTGTAGAGCATAAAATGCACTCCTCGACTAGATTACAGTGAACAGCTGTTTAATTGCTGTTCGTCTAAATGGATGTGAAGGAAGTAGGAAGGAGTGTGAGACCAACCGATGCCTATTTGCAATCTCCACCTACGCACCCACCAAATGCAGCTTGGATGATGCAAAGGATGAATTCTATGAGAAGCTGTCAACCTTACTATATAGAGCAAAACTTTCAGATGTAGTCATAATGGTAGGTGACCTTAGCGCTCAAGTAGTAAAGTTGAGCCTGATCGGAAGGGCATTTGAGGGGGGGGGATATCTGTGGAATTCTATGCCAAAGAACCGACAAGGATGACCGTGTGTTGCAAGTTTATCTCAACAATCACATGTTTCTGGTCAGCACTTACTTTAGATACAAGGAGAGACACTATCTCACATGGCGTCTACTCACTTCAAATCAACGATGGACATACACAGATCACTTTACTATAAGCCAGGGATCGTTGGAGAGGATCGGAGGAGAGTTGTCGCTCTTTCTGGAGTAACAGTTTGGACTCCAATGAAGCGCTAGTACGGTAATGTGTATGTCTGCGTCTTACTGGTCGCAGGAAACCGACAATAGTAAAGCCTGTCTGTACTCGATTAGAAGATGAGGACTCCATTTACATATTCAGGGGGAAGACATCTAAGCATTGATCTAAATATGACTGCAATTATCTTTCTGATTAAGCCTGGTGTGATTTCAGTCAGGTGTAGAAACAGAGGTAAAGACAATTGTTAACCTACTTTTGAGGGTTAGGAAATGTCATTGGATTTTCGCGACATCACCCAAACTGATTGATACGACAATCTATCAAAGGGTGAGTATACTTCACTGCAGTCCGTTCTGTCCTGCTGCACGACTGTGAGACATGGCCGTTAAAAGGAGAAGACATGAAGCAATTATAGGGTTTTGATCATAAGTATCTTCATTGGGTTGCTGGCCTTTGGGTGGATTACCATGTGAGCAATGTTGAAGTTGGGGCAAGGGTACGAAGCAAGATAGATAAGACAGTCGATGAGGTTGTGAACCTTGGTCGGTTGAGACGGCCTGGATATGTACTACGCATGCCGAGCCACCGCTTACCTCGACGCGCCATGCTGGTGGAGGTTAGATTAGTTTGAAAGAGGTTTCAGGATGACGCGACCGCGACGTTTCATCAGTTGATGAGGTCTCTTACTGTTGGCCTGAGATGAAAGGAATCAGTGTTTGATGATTGTTGGTGATACGTCGAAAAGCCGGTCACATTGGTGCAGATGTATTCACTCCTTGACATTTTTTGAAAGCTTGAATATTTGCACTAACCTTTAGCTTCAGATTGTTTATTCTCTCTCACCACTTTGTCTACTTCGATATCAATCTCCGTCGGTTTTTTGACTATTACTATTAATTGTGGCAATTTGAGCCGATGTACCTGTGTGCAAAATTTCGCGTTGATCTTGTCACCAAGCCTGGTGATTAAATGTTCGCTGACAAAATGTCAAAGCTCAGAGAACACCAAACCACCATCACTGCTTCACTATATGCCACATCAAACAAACAATCTAATATGGAATAGTCTGACCGACTTTTGATAGTTTTCACCGGATGTTTAGAACACATTCATGTACTGAAAGAAATAGGAGAATGTCAACCAGTGGATTCCCACCTAACGGCTAAATAACAGTAAAGTACTGACCGCAGAACCTGGAGATCTTGGGTTCGACCCCTGGTGGGGTCATGGGTACGCACTGCTGAGGAGTCTCATACTAGTAGGAAACACCTCTCCGGTGTTCCAAAGTTTCCAATGCTTCTCCAACTGATGTCAATTCGTAATGAATACCAACTTGAAATAGGTCCTTTTTGTTTAGTAGGTGTAACGGTACTTTTGGTGATGAAATTAACAATAGCGACTGTAGTGTTTGAGTGTGTCGACCACTTCATTTACCTGGGAAGTAAGATCAGCCCTGGTGGCTCAGTTGCCTATGAAATCTCTACACGGATACGAAAGGCTCAGTTGGCTTTTGCCAATTTACACCACCTATGGCGCCGCCATGATATCCGATTGCATAATAAGGGTCGCGTGTACTGCACAACAATCCGGTGTGTTCTACTGTATGGCTGTGAAACATGGCCACTGAAGGTGGAAGACATGAGAAGGCTTCAGGTGTTTGATCACCGTTGCCTTATTAGTATAGACTGTATTCCGTAGTGTCACCATGTGAGTGAGTAATGCAGAAGTCAAGATTAGAGTTTTAGGGAGTCAGTTGACACGGCTGTGAACCTTGATTGCGTGAGATCGGTGTTTGGGACACGTGTTAGTTATGCCTAGTCGTGGTCTGCCTCGTCACACAATGTTGGTTGAGAAGTAGGTTCAGAGTGGAAAAAGGGTGGAGGCTCTCGGTCAGACTAAAACATGGCATCAATGTATGAAGTGTTTGACTGTTGGTTTGAGCCAATGTGGGGATTGATGCAGACTGGGTGGTTGGTGTCGGTGGGACAAGAGAAACTAGTGGTTGGAGACTGACTGCAGGGGATATGGCTCAGATGTATACACACATTATTTTCATCTTAACTATGCTATACCGATTCTCGCTATTTTATCATTCTTCCTTTCTCTCTTTGAGTATATTTCTTTTGCCTGAGTTTTGTTTCCTTCATCTTCCACTTGACTGCCTTTTTACTTGATGTAGTGATATGTGGTGTGGCAACTCGAACCGTTACTCAGTAGTGCCTGATCCTATATTGATATTGGTGATGATGATGATGAAGTATGTGATCATTTTATATTGACTTCAACTATGTATGTAATCCAGATATTTTTGATATCTTTCTTGAAAGAATTTACGGCAGATAGAATTAGAAAAAAATTGTTTTATTAACAATAAAATGAAAGAACAAAAAGAATTTGAGGAGTATAAAGAAGCTGAAATAAAGAAATTGAAGTGAGTTATGCGTTTATTTACAATATTTATGAATTATAACCAGTTTAATTGTGGAATTAAGTCAGTCAGTCAGTAGTTATTTCAGGCAACTGACTGTTCAAATGTATGGTTAATTGCCTAGTTTTTGACCTTCTGACTTGAATTCTATCCTGTCTCATGTGATTCCTGGCGGCTATAAGACATTATCGTTGAAAGTAGAGAATATTTATGAAGTTTTTGTCAGCATTACTCACACATACTGGAATCATTGTGTAAGCAGTATCGAGGTTGAACTAAAGGTAGTAGACAAGGAAGGCAAGTCAGTCGATGTGCTTGTGAACGTTTACCAACTGAGAGGTGGCTTGGTTATGGGTTACGCATACTGAACCACTGCCTACATTGAAGTGTAGTGCTAGAAGAAGGTGGATTAGGTTGAAAAAGAGTCCGGGGTGGCCAGACACAAACATGTCATTAATCCATTTAGTCCTTCGTTGTTGTAGGATAGTGTAGACTACCTGGCTTGGGATCCCGTGGACGATAGAAATCAGTGGTAAGCGTGCAGATGTATTCACTTCGTGACGTCTTCTAAAGGTCGAATGTTTTGACTTTGTATGCCACCAATTTTTTATATCACCATATTGCTCGTAGTCTTGATAAAAATGCTAAGAATGTCACTTGGGCCTTTTGAGACTACACTTCGGCATTTGATGCTGTCCCAAGACCTATTTTGCTGGATAAGCTAACCAGGACAATCACTGAGTCCTGGATCATCAGTTGGCTGCACCCCTATTTGTCTGGTAGGAAACAACATACTGTTCATACAGGGAAAAGCTCCACCTCATTGTTTACTGTGACTGGAGTTCCCCAAGGAGCCTCCCTTTACCCATGTCTTTTCTCATTCCTTCTGCATGACCTACCATCTTCAACTGGTATCAGTCTCATCAAGTATGCTGATGACCTGACAGTTTTCATACCTATCTCCTCTTCAACAGATTCTTCCCAACTGAATGACTTCCTATCTACTGTTAGACGATAGTCCTCCGTGAATGGTCTTATGCTTAATTCCTCAAAATGTCACACCATGAACTTTAGTTTAAGACGTGAACATGACCTACGCAAACTGCTTAGTTCTCATGATTCCTGTTGTGTTGATCGTTGGGCATTAGAGAAGGTTACATGTGTGATTTATCTCACCGTATATGTTTTTCTCCAGACCTAGACTGGTCCTCCCTTACCTCACTTATTTACAATAGAATTTTCCACCCAACTTCCTATATTAGGAAGTTGAGAGTATCTGCTGGTATAACTCAACCTCTCCTTCTGTGTTTTATAAACTCCTGAATCTTGCCTGCTCTCCTTTATTTTTTCCTGAGTTGTTGAGAAAGGACTATGTTGTGTGTTGTGTAGAACTTTGAAAATTGTCAGCAGAACTAGTGGTGTACCTGTGAACCTACTAGTTAAAGGAGTTGTAGACAAATATCTGAATTCATGTAAACATCTGACAGGTGTTATTTTATCAGATAACCAGCATCGTCTGCATGTCGGTCATCTGGATAGACGTGGAGTAAGTACATAAGACTTTATTCACGTGTACTACAAAATATGTAAACTCTTCAATTCCTTAGGTTATTTAGCTCATCTGCTGTGTGACAGAGAAAGTATTACAAATGAACTAACTAATCAACTTGTGTTTTTAAAAACAAACTAATTAATGAGTACACAGCATGTTACTATTTATGTATTATGAATCTAATTACGAGTGTGATTGTCTACCTAAATTGACTGTGTATTGTGAAGAAAATTGTAGGCAGAGTGAATATTCTTATGTGTAATTTCTACTTGTTTCATTTCACTATGTATACATGTACACTGTCTCTGTCCAATCGATGCTAGATAATGACATGTTGAAAATTCTGTAGAGTATTCCCTAAAAATGCCTTTCACAATGAAGTCATTATTATTATTATTTGCATGTATTGGTAAGCCTAGAAGAGGAAATGTAACCAGTTGAATAACCCAATTAAATAGTATGTTTGTAGATGAGTGTGTAAATTACAGATTGAGATTTCTATGTACACATGTGTGCTTAAAGTTCTTATCTCCTGGTTATTTCAGTATATGGAGGTGGGTTGAGACCAGGTCAAACTACGTTTTATCCCTTCATTCCTTCCTAGACAATCAGACAATTTTGATTGCAGTTTGTGTGAAGAGACGTTCTTTATAACTCCTAAAGTCTTTCTGAATAATTTCTATATTGTCAAAATCGACATTTTGACCTGAGATTATAACATGTACAGCTATGGCTGAAGTTCTATTCAAGTTGCTTTTTAATTCCACTAGATTTCTAGGAGGTCGAGTGGAAGCTCTTCGGTGTTCATTTTTCCTCATTTTTATTTCAAGGCAAGTCTGTCCTATGTATCTTACACCATAGACTGAGTATTTTATTTTATAAACACAATTAGATTGTGAATCTAGAGGGAACTCATGCTTCACATGGTCTAAGGTGTTCTGGAATGTGTTTGATGTTCTGTAGAATACTCTGATGATGTTTCATTTGTTCAACACTCTCCTAATTTCATCTTTGTGTTGAGATGCATGATTAAGGAGTAGTTTTACAGAGTAATTTATTGTTATTTTCTATTTTGTGAATGAATTTCCATTGGATAATTATTTATTTTAAGTATCTTGTTCATATATTTTAATTCCTTAACTCGCGTTATTAAAGTGGGTGTGTGTGTGCTCTGCCTAGGAGACTGGAGGCGAGAGAAACTTTCACACTGGTGTTTGGATGTGATGAGTTGAAATGTAAATATTTGTTCGCATGTGTTGCTTTCCTTATACCTAAATGACTATTTTCTCTCCATTTAACAAGACAATCAAGGAAAGGTAGTTCCCCTCCTTATCTGTGTCTTCTTCTCGGTTGAACTTGATACACTGGGAGATCTAGAGTTCAGCTGATCAAAGAATGTCTGCTGTAAGTTGTGTTTTAAAGATGACGAATGTCTCATCAAGGTATCTCAGTGAAATGTCTGAGTTTAGTAAGTGAGTGAAGACACTTCCTTCAAATCTACTCATAAATGGGTTAACTAGTATTGGTGAAGCAGGTGAACGTATAGCAACACCGTCAGTTTACCTGTATAGTTCTCCTTTATATGTGAGGCAAATAGTCTGTAGACAGAAATTTGGGGTCTTCATGATGTCACTGGTAATCAGTGGATATCTTTATATCATTATTGTTGTCATAGCCATTATAGCCATAATTTCGTATTCTTCAATTTTAAGTGTAGAACTTTTGTATTTAAATCAAGTGAGTCCTTTATTGTGTATTCTGAGTCCATGTGAAGGGGTTTAAGCATTTGAAGCCAGATGTTTTAAAAGGTTATGTGTTGGTAATCTCCACAATTGGTCTCAGTGGAATGGAAGTTCATGAAGCAGTGTATTCGTGTTCATTTCCATTTTGTTTAGTTCGGTGGGTGTTTTCTGTTCATCAATTAAAGTGTATGGTCCTTAGGATGTGTGTTTACTTCCTTTCCTCCTCATAATCTGTTCTATTCATAATGACACTGCTGTTTATTTCGTTGATACGCTTCCTGCAAAATGCCTTTGATAGTGTATAAGGTCGCAGGCAGCATACGTTTCGAGATTTTACAGTTCATTACGCATTAATATTGTTGCACTATATTTTAGATAAGGGTTGTGTGCTTAGATTTCACACTTCACATGAACATTTGGTTATTTGTCAAAATGAACTAATCGTTTTTGCTTGAAAAATTATGGATAGAAATTTCACAATAAGTTCAAACTGTGCCACAATGGTTTCAGAGTTGACTACTGTAATCACAGTTAACGCTCATTGTAATAAGGGAATAATGTTGTGTTCGGAAACTGCTATATGACCGCTAACGATGCACTGATATCGAGTGTCAGCCACCAACATTCAACGAATTCCCAGTTGATTCCGGACCCGACTAATTAATCGAGAAGATATGAAGGACGTGTATTTGGGGTCGAAAGATCGAAGACCAATCCAAAGAAAAACAGCTAATATATAGGTAGTTCGCTGTTCAAAATAATCCTATTGATTGGCTGATTCACTGTCTGTCTGTCTATCTATCTCTCGAATTGTATACGTGATGACATAAAGCATATTTTGATTGGTCGCTGCCATGACTAGTCTTTTCTCGCTATCCCCTTGTCAATAATGCATGTAGCTTACATAATATTTGTGTTAAAAATTCCTCTTATATAAAGTTTTCTTCTGTTTGGTTATCAGGAAGGAAAAAAGAGTTTTAGAAGAATATCGACGTGCTTTAAGAACTATGCCAAATAAGAAGGATCGTGAAGAAATTGAACGACTTAAACAAGAAGTGTGTTTCAAACCTTTCCACTGTTTATTATATGTTTCTGCGATAGTTATGGTTTGATAAATTTGTATTTTTGATACTGTAACAGATTTTCATTCCATATTCAATCATCATTACCCAATATCAAGTCGCTGATTTGAGGCCTGTCGAAACCAAGATATTTCTGCTTCCTACTATCGTCTACAGAAAACCGACACATTCTAACAGGTATCTACACTTCAAATCATCTCATCGAATGTCAGTCAATTAAGGCAGTCTTGTTCAAATGTCTAAATGATAAAGGTAAAAAACTGACTAGTCAGTGCAAGGACCTAAATAAGGAACTGAAACGCATACAAGAATCACTAACAGTTAATAATTATCCTCTACAGTTTATTATGAAATTCGTACGGACACAAAAAAAAACGAGAAAATAACACTAATATGAGAATGAATAATAGCGACAAGACGACTAGAAATAAGTTCCAAGCATCTATCGTATTACCCTATAAGGAAGGAACATCAGAAACCTTATGTTGGATCCTCTACAAAGCTGGAGTTACTGTGGCATTTAAACCTACAAACTCGCTCAGAGATCAACTTTGTAGGTTAGCTTAAGGATCCGATAGAACCAACTAAGCAAAATAATCTAATCTATCAAATTCCATGTAATGACTGCGAGGTCAAGTACATTGGTGAAAATAAGTTATTGGGGTCAGATAGGTTAACCGAACATAGAAGTTTAGCTAAATATGGAATGGCAAACCCCAACAAGATCAGTAATCCAGAGAGAAAACCTCGGTTATTACAATGCATAGAAGGCATACAATGCACACAAGCACGCAATAGAGTGGGATAAAACCACTCTACTGAAGTCCAATATAATTAGGTGATAAGAGGGAGAGATTGATTACAGAATCTATGTCATCAAATCAGCCAATATCGAACACATGTGGAATACGAATGACGCAACACCTATACCAGAGATATGGAAAATGTTACTACCGATAGAAACAAAGATTATCAGGTGGGTGACTGGACTATAAAAATCAAATGCAGAAATTAGTGTGATTACGTTGATATGATTATGAGACATAATAATTTATGCTCGAAATGTCATCAAGTAAATAATACTATATCACTATATACTGTCTATATCAGATAAATAAATCCAAAATGGAATTACATTCCACTGCATTGGCCAAGTTTCATTGTTTTTCCCTAGGGTTCCTAGTGGAACATAGGGCTTCAGCAGCACGCCTCCATTGCACTCTGTTCTCCGCAGTCTTTTCAACCTGACTCCAAGACTGCCCACACGCTTTCATTTGTTCCTTGCACCATCTCCTCCATGTCACCCTCGGACACTCAACTCGTCATTTCCCCTTTCGATTCCACTCGAGAAACTGACCTGAGGTGTGGTGTCCCCAGTCGGTCTTCTCAGTGTATACCCAATCTAGTTCATCTCCACTTCCTACTTCTTTCTGCATATTTGTTGGGTGAAAGGTTGTCGGTTGGTTCGTTGACAGACAGACAACCAGAGTTCCTTGTTGCCTATTCTTATAATTCTGACCATCTGATCTTCAGTGTCAGTAACGAGCCAGCGTATGTGGCAGCTGTTTATGTACGTCAGCAGTTTGTTGGAAATACTTTTCGTAACGTGCCAAGTCTCTCAACCATCACATAGAAGCACTGACTGACTTGTCTGACATTAGTGTTAAAAGTTCGGATCTTGTTCACGCTTTATGATGAGTGCAGTGTAGTGTAGTGCAGTGCAGTAGATCTCCACACTGATTTCAGACTAATGAAGGAAGCCCTGTCTTGCTGCCTTTTCCATCCTGTCTTTCACATCCTTACCTGTGCCTGTGCCGCCTGTAGTTGAAACGATGCTGCTCTGCCTAGGTAGGTGAAACAGACAACTTCCTTTAGACTTCTCCCGTTCATGGTGATTGGTGCTCATTGTTGTTGTTGTTGCTGCTGTTGTCTGTAGGATACCTGCATCCCCTCTGTCTTCTCTACGTTCACCTAAAGTCCCATCTTCTCTGCCTCACCTCTTCTGCCAACTTGTTAGTTTTCGCCTGTAGATCTTCGAGTTTCTGCGACAAGACATTAGACATAAATCATCATCGCCGGCGAAATCCGAATCTCCCAGGGTCTCTTCATCGATCCAGCCAGTGTATGTCCATCTTCTCACTCCTCACAGTTCCCTGCATGATCTAGTCCACCACAATCAGGAAGATGATCGGTGGTGGTAGGCTGCAACCTCGTCTTGTCTTACTCCTGTCCCCTGTCTTCACTTCAAACGCATCATTCAGCTTTCCATTGTGAATCACTTAACATGTAGCATCCTCACATGGCATATAGCTGCTGTGGAATGAGGTTGATAAAGGTTAGTGGCTCTAAAACCATAGTGTTGAAGCAGCTGTCTGCCAAATTACTTCTCAGTCGACACTGTCGAATGCCTTTTCAAAGTCGTTGAAGTTGAGATGAAGATCCAGTTGACTGCCATCCTATGGTCTGTTCTATGATGATGTGTAGCGTAGCGTAGTGTTGCAATTTGATCTGCATATAGTTTCTTTATCCTGAAGTTAGCCAGGCAGCTTGTCCTGGTCGTAATTTTGAACGTAGAGTATCCTTTAGTCTCTCCAGGATGATCCGGCTTAACATTTTGCTTGGGGTGGAGAGGGATAGGAGCATGACTCCTCACCAGTTCTTGCAAAACGTTATGGCGCCCTCGTTTAGAAGTTTGAGAAGGTAATCCTTCTTCTAAGCGGCCTGGTTTTAGCTACTTTTAAAGAAAATTCATGGAAAGAAAAGGTGTGATATCCAAGTGAACATAGTTGTACGAGGGAAGAAACAATTTGAAGATAAAGGCTAGTGACTGATTTTCAGTCATTTCATCAAGAGTTCTCAACCACTATTTTCTATCGTCTGGAGAACCCCGGCCGTACAGCCTACACCTCACTACATGGCTCAAAGCAACAGTTTGAGGCTTCATGCATTTTTGTCACGCATTGGTTTGGCCATCTTGAATTCTTTTCCAACCTGTTTCAACCTCTAACATTACACGTTGTAATCGGCAGTGGTTCGGCATGCATAGTGACTGTTCAAGCCACTTAAGTCGATGAAGGTTCAAAATTTAATCGACTGACTTAGCTTATTTACCCAGTATCCTTCACCTAACCTCAGAATGCCTCACATGATGACTACACTACACTTGAGCAGTCCTGTCAAGACACCTATGATCTAAAACCTCTAATCTTATCATATCTTCCACTTTCAGCCACCAAATCGCGCAGTCATATAGCAGGACAGAGCGAACTGTAGCACAGTAGTATACTCGTCTTTTAATAGGTGGTGGTTGTCAGATATTTCACCGGTGCAAAAGATGATATAAGTTGGCAAATTTCGAATCGCTCTTGAGTATCCGAGCTAAGATCGCGTCAGCATACATTCAACCACTTCACTCCCTATCCTTAAACTTGGAGTAGTTACAGACCAGTCCTGGAACATCATTTTACATTTAACAGGCGCGAAACGCATGCCAGCCAAACATACGCAAATTTGTGCTCAAGCCGTTCGGAAAACCTTGCGTTTAATCTCTGTCTTCACCTAGCAGGAAAATATCATCTGCGGAATCCAAGTTAATCAGATGACCTCCAGGGAGTAGATCAATCCCTTGGAAGTCGGAAGTACCTAAGATTATGTTCTTTAGTATATGTGTAACGACATTAAGCAAGAGTGGTCACAGCGGGCATCCGTGGCGGACACCACCAATGGGATTCTGGAGATATTTTCAAACACCAGGGCGTTATTCAGTAGGCCACCGAGTCACAATATCCATGCCTTGTGCGATGGGTGCAGTGTCAATAGTGCTGAATAGGACCGAACGCGCGTCCCAGATTCCACTACTAGCCACTAATCGTCATTAATATCAAAATTGAAAATACAGGCAATATCGAGGCTTTTGCGTAGGAGCCTATTTGCCAACAATGATTGACTGACTCTGTTCAATCAGCGACGGCGATTCACAAGCTTACGACATCAAAAAATAACCTGTGCCATTCAAACTGCGCTGCAGCACAACCCGGAACGTTTATTGATGTCGTAGGCTATAGATCAAACTTATTGTAATGAAGTGGCACTGCAACTCAGTGCTCTAAGTACTTATTTCCACCACTGAGCCACAGGTTCGATCCCCGCTCCACTCACTGCAGTCAGGTAGTAAGTACCATCAACACGAACATTCACGTAATTACTGAGTGGGTTTCGATTTCAATCGTGTGAAGACTTATGATATCTGGTTGCTTAGATTGAATTCGGGATAAAAAGAGTGTGAACTCGCTATCGGTTACTTGATAGTTGAGTGTGGAGTTGTGGCTCATTGGTTTAGTAAGTTGACTTTCAACCAGTAGGTCGTGGGTTCGAACCCCATTTCGCCTACTAAGGTTTGAGCAGTTGGGTAGTATTATTAATCCCCACACAATAGGTGTTTGGATGAATGAGAGCATTTGAGTGGGATAGTTGGACTGTACAACCAGTCGGTCACATCTTCACAGTTTCTGTGTAGTAACTCGATCCGGAATAACAACAAGTGGCTCTTTTGCTACAATGAATGGATGGATGATGCCTTCATGTTTAAGGCATGATGGGTGCTGGGTTCGAGTCTCAGTGGGAACAATACCACCCCTGGAGTGTAGGTACATCTATCTGACGAGTTCTAGGTTGGACAAAACGCATATCTTGAATTTCCCTGCTAGCCACCACCAAACAGAATACAAGACAATAATCGGGTAGTTCCGAGACGTTCACCTTGCTGACAGAGGTTGGCTAATTCGGTCCAAAACAACTATGGGAAATTACAGGTGTGAATTGAATAACAATACTTGGTTACTATTGAGATCCTTTCTTTTTTTTTCCTCTGCAGCTTGAAGAATCTCGAACAGATATGGGTAAACGTGAAGTTCGATGGCATTCAGCGCTTAGTCGTCTACGTACTAGAATTGAAGAATTAGAAACTGAACGAGATGAACTTAAAAGTCGTATCAGTAAACTAGAAGAAGATCGTATATCATTACAAAGTCGGTTAGCAAAATTACAAATATCCTCGAATACATCAAATCCTAGTAGACAACGATCATCATCACTTCGACAGGTTTGTTATTTTGTCTTTATGCTTTTCTCCTGATGAATCTTTCTCCTTTTTTTCCCTTCTTGAAGTAATATATCTTATGTCTGTTCTTTTTTTCTCTCTCTGTGTGTGTCATTTCAGACAATCAACTCAATCTCACAATCCATCAGTCTAGCACCATCAGTTAATGGAACCAATCTGAAGACGACAAGTGATACATACCACCGTTCAAGACAACCACCGTGTACACGTTCATCATCATCAACAACAACAACAACATTATCTCGTCCTGTTTCAAGATTGAGTAGTAACCCTGATCGATATGGTACTATGAATGGCCATATGATTATGTCAACTAATCAAAAACAGATTTATTCAAATAAACCATGTCAACAAGAGTGTAGTTCATCGATTGTATCAGGTACACGAGAAAGTTTAACCAGTGGAAATGGTTATTTCACTGGAGATGATGATTGTAGTTCAGTTGGTGGAAGTAGTGGACGCGTAGTAAAATTCTCTATTCATTCAACTGACCCTGATAATGATGATGATGATGATAATCATGACAGAACTAAACAAAAACCATCTGATCCCCCTGTCAACAAACAACTCACTCCACCAATTGTCATTAACTATCATGATGAATCGAACACAATAGAACCACACTAAGTATGAATAATTAACGTTTTTTTTTATTGATTTACTAATATTTTCCAAGGTAACTATTGTTATATTTTCTTTAATGGATATTGGTTGGCTAAAGGCAATCGGTAGGAAGCCCTGCTTGACTTTTGTTTCTTACTTGTTGTCACTCGTCCACCAAGAAAGCACATCTGCAACCTCTAGGGAACTAATGAATCTCTTACGTGAGGCTCGAACCTACACCACCCAACGTTGTAGTCTACCACGTTACCACTGAGCTATTCAAGCCTCCTAGTTTGGTGACCACATTGCAAAATGATGGATAAAACTCCATCACCATTGAGAACTGGATAACAATGAGATCGACTAACGAACTGGCTGACAAAATCAACGTAGAACCTTGTACACAAGTGGATCGGTTCAAGTTGCCATACACAAAGAACAGGTGGATAGAAAAGGATTGATATCAAAGTAGACAAGTCTCGGTCAGAGAAATAAAAAAATTGAAGATAAAGGTTAGTATGAATGAATAGGAATGCATACATTTGCACTATTATGATCCATTTTCAGCAACAGTTATCAACCGCTACTTCCTTTTGTCTCAGATCAACAGTAAGAGACTTCATTAACTGATTCCAGGTCTTTGTTTTCAAGCTTATTCCAACTTCTTCTAGCATAACACGTCGAGGTAGGCAGTTGCTTGGTATGTGTAGTACATTCTCAAGCCATTTCAGTCGACTAAGGCTGACAACCTCGTCAATCGACTTATCTGTCTTGGTTAGTACTGTTCCACTGACTTCAAAATTGTGCACATAGTGGTTTCACTACCCTGAAACTGCTTCAAGTTGTCTACTTTCAACGAACATGTCTCACAGCTGTACATCAAGACAGAACAGAATGCAGATCAGCATGTTTGTCCTTTGATATATAGCCGGATATCTCGAGGATACCATAGGGGACAAAAGTTGGCAGATACCAAAAGGAGGCTTCTGTATCCAAGCTGAGATGTTGTCAACACCAAAACCATGTGGGTTGATGCAACACATTTCACCACTGCACTCCCTATCATTAAGCTGAAAGTGCTTGCAATAGACCAGTCTTGAAGTATAATCTCACATTTGACAGGTGGCAGCGAAACGCATGCCAAACACACAGATTTCTGTACCAGGACAATATCGTCTGCATATTCCAAGTCAACCAGATGACCTTCAGGGAGTCGAACGCACATAATGTTATGTCCACTAGTAAGTCTATGACGAAGTAAAATAGGTACAGTGATAATGGAAATCCCTGGCGGACACCACTAGTCAACTCGCTTGATAACTCTCTATAAACCCTGACACGGCTGCATGAGTTCGAGTGTAAAGCTTTGATAAGCGTTATTTACTTACTCGGTACTCCCTTAGCAGTTAAACACTTCACGGTCGACAGAGTCAAATTCCACCTTCTTTATCCTGCCTTCAAAATTAATCTTGGACTAGCTTGTCAGCTATAAGCAGATACTCATTTTAAATACTAGAGAGTTGAGAATTAGCTCAAATCCAGTCTAATTGATAGCCCTCATTGTGATAACTGACCGAAGTGATGGGTGAGACCATCAGGATCGAAAATATTGGTGATTAGTGACACTGTCGTTGAGAATGGCTAGCCTATAATAAAATCTCTCAATCAACGACTAAAGATGTGAGTGGCAAAATCTAGGCAACTGTTTAACTATCCGTCTTAGAGCTTCGCTTCACCTTTCGTTCAGCTGTAACTCACTTGTCTAGGTATTTGACTTCCAGCCTGTAGGTCCTGGGTTCGAACAGCGCTTCACCTGCTGAGGTTTGTTCGAGAGAGAGATGTACTCAGGTACCTTGTGCACATTTATGCAATTAGGTACACCTATTGTGTGAGGGTTATTGATACTATCTGGCTACCCACACCTCAGTAGGTGGAACGGGGTTCGGACTCGTGACTGATCGGTCTAACGTAAACTCCTTAAACCAATAAACCACAGCTAGGTAGTATCATTAGTCATCATATAATAGGTTTGACGCATTGGTTAGTGCACGCAATATGCACGTGGTTGTTAAGAGAGAGAGAGAGATTTTCGTTTCATTCTACCCAGCTTCAACTGAACAGAATATGCACATCAGTCTTACAGTTCTTGACTAAGTTAAGAGGTCTGTTAAGTACGGTATGAAGCTTTAAGACTGAAGGATCGAAGATATTCTACTCACACTAATCTAAATGTCTCTATTTTTCTGTGTCCTATGATCAAATAGGAACTGGCTTAACGCGAAGAAAGTAGTCGACATTTTCGTCTTATCCTACCTAGATGTATCGATAGGGTTCTTTATCCTTTGCCCATATCTTATAGCACAAGCTTACACTCATCAAGCATCTAACACTTGCCTCACTCGCATGATTCTTCCGATTCAGTCTTAACGCTGACCTTGCACGTAATTGGTTTCGAATATATCTGCCCTGTATCATTTGCTTAAACCACCCACACAATGAGTCACCCAATCCAGCCCACCCCTGCAACTATATACAACAGAACACGAAGTCTGATGTTTACCAACTGGGAATGACTTTAACGTCCACCCTAGCAACTACTGAGACGATCAGTCAGGCTCCGATATTTCGTCTGGAAAAGTACTTTTCCATAAAATGAAGGAATTTAGTTGGTTATTTCATCAGTTACTAGGATGGTCTTTAAAGTCACTCCAGTTATCGGGGTGACATTCACAACTTTAGCAGCTCTTAAGACAACTAGTTTTGGATCTGTATTTTATGAAAATTTAACTTCCCAGCAGAAATAATGAAACTTGATTAGCTGTACCAATGGTAGCTATGCTGGCCTTCAGAGTCTCCCCTTCAAATACCACCCTAGCAACAATCGGGATTGGGCATACACTGAGAGGGCGGTCTGGGGACATCTGGCGTCAGGCCAGGTCATCGAGTGGAACCCAGATGAGAAGCGACGAGTTGGGCGTCCTAGATGAGGGTGATATGGAGGAGATGGTGCGAGGAGGAAATGAGAGGTTGTGGGCTGTCTTGGAGCCAGGTTCAAAAGATTTCAGAGAACAGAGTGGAATGGAGACGTGCAACTGAAGCCGTATGTTCCATTAGGAACCCAAGGAACAAATAATAGTAATAATAATAATAAAGTTTCCTCATTTCAGCTGAAAGGCAGATTTTCATAAAATAGAGAAGTCTGGTGATTCCACTTGTTGCTGGGGTAGCCTTTAAAGTCAACCATTAGCTTACGTATATGAGACGATGGGACAAGTGTGTTTATTTTCACAAAGGTCAGTCACTAAAACAGAAAGTTTACGGTCAGTTTTAATCAATAAACTTCATTGTGAATTTTTGATTTTTATGTTTTAGACTAGATCGTCAAATTTCTCAAGCAAAAGACACTGTCAATAAATTGCATAGTTATTGGTCAAGAGAAGTTGCCTATTCCAGGGACAGCTGCTTCAGGTACTCTGATCCGAAGTGTTAAGCATACTGACGGTTCGGTAAGATTTAAAAAAAATAACTAAAAGTTTAAGCATACAATAATGTAGTCTTTCCGATTTTATATGAGGCTGAAATTTTCTTTTATTGGGGGGGGGGGGGGAGATTTTAGGTGTATACTATTTCAGCGTACTATGCATGAACCTAACTGATTGTCATTTAATGGTACTTTGCCCGATTCACGTGATTCTATAGATTCAATCTTCCCGCTGACCTTGCACATGATTGGTCTTTTATATGTTGTATCCCACCTACCCGATGAGTCATGTAATTCGGTCCTCCGAATGGACTGACATGAGATGGGGAACCATTGAAAGTCTGGGGGCACTGAACAGCTGTTTCCTCCTAGTATGGAACTCCTCAACAGTACGCACCCACGACCCGGCTAGGAACCAAACTCAGGATCTTCAGGTTTCACGGCGAACGCGTTAACCATTCAGCCACTGGGTCGGTTTTCAGTGGTTCACAATTTTCAACTTCTGTCACTTCATGATATAGTGTGACTATCACCCGAATTCTTCAGTTAGCATCCGCTTCACTCCCGACAGGTTTACCCCACAGGTCACGGCTTCTCATTAGAACTTCGCCGTGAAACCTGAAGGTCCTGAGTTCGACCCCTAGCCGGGTCATGGGTGCATACTGCTGAGGAGTCCAAAACTAGGATGAAACAGCTGTCCAATGCTTTCAGATTTTCAATGGTTCCCCAACTGATGTCAGTTTATGATGAATACTACTTCTAAATTAAAAAATCCCCATTCATCCCAAAAATACATTACTGTATAGTGCTCATTAGTGAACATTTATTGTCTGTATGTATCTTGGGCTGTCTGGTTCAACTGTAGATACATAATTGAATTGTCTGTCTGATCACACAACGCACCATAATTTACAAAACTGAACCAGTCTATTTATAGGTACAACAGTGGATACTGTGATTACTTCTGAAATACTACAAGTCAAACATAAATGGAGGAGTGAGGGTTCAATCGAAAGTTCTTTAACCGACCGAGCTCTACGATAACTTTTAAAATATAAAAGTTAAGACTTAGGTACTGTGGTAGATTATAATTTCATTTTAGTCTTTTTATTAGATAAATTGTACAGTGAAGAAACAGCATTTACTGGCTTATGTTTCGGACATATTCATATCAGGTAACTCCACAACTTCGAGACAGAGTTTATGTGATCCTAATCCTCTCGTCTTTGTGATGAATAAGCGTAGCAGAATTATCCATATATCTGGGACACAGGTGCAGAATCATTCCTGTTGCTTTGATAAATAAAGATTGTTATCCATCTCTCCCTCCATCTACCCAACCAACTTAGTTTTTAATGTTGTCGCCTATCCCAGGCTACTATGTGATTGTTTATAGTTGTTTGCAGAGCTATGGTCGAGGTTTGCTCTAATTTTTCTATCTTATTAGGATCTACTAATCTTGATTTAGCTAAGTTTTTGGGCTCGGATAGCCTAATTTGACCCTGGTTGACTACTTTGACCTGTGTGTTAAACCTCAGGATCATTGTAAATGATTTGGTTAACCAGACTGTTTTGCCCAGTTGGATAAATAGGATCTCAATCTACAAAGCCTATTTCTAAGCTAGTTTTTTGGTGTAAATGCCACATTTTAATCCCTGCAGCCTTATTGAGATTTCTTCATAGTGTATCCGAAGTGCTTTCTATGTATGGTAATACAGTGGAGGCCTTGAAATTCTCTCTCAGTCCTGTCAGTATTATTACTACCACTAGACACATCAATGAATACATTGGGTCTTAAAAGTTACTTACATTCATCTATTAAGTAAATTCATCAAAAATCGAAAGAAAAGTGTAAGCAGTAGTAATGTTGGTGAAAGGTTTGAGAGAGAATTCAAAGCCTCTATTGTTTTGCTATACAAGGAAGGCACCTCAGAAGCCTTACAACGAATCCTCAATAAGGCTGGGATTAAAGTGACATTTAAGCTAATGCAATTAAGCAAAATAACTTGGTGTACGGAATTCCTTGAGTTGATTCTGAGGTTAAAATACATAGGTCAAAGTAGTTGACCAGGGTCAATTAGGTTACCTAAACACAAAAACTTAGCTAAATCAAGATTATTACATCCTAATAATGGAGTATCGGATTAGAAACTTGATACTCGCTAGTTCGAATCCGACCGCGGTCCAAATTTTCATTTCACCTTTCATCATCACGCAGTACAGATCCTAATGGGATAAGAAATTTAGAAACAGCTCGACTATAGTCATGCTCGCAATTGCACACAATCACAAAGTAGGGTAGGATACAGCAACTGTATTAAAAATTAGTTGTGGGGAGGGAGGGGGAGATAGATAACCGAATCTTTGTTGATTGAATCAACACCAAATACATGCTGTAATAAAAATGATTCTACACCTGTCTCTCATATATATGAAAATTCCTACTATTTTCACATCACAAAGAAGGCGAGAGAATTAAGACTACATAAACTCTTTCAAAACGTAGTTACCAAGTAGGAGGAACATAGGAAACGATGAGCTGACCCACTTCAAAAGAAATCCTGAGTCGACCACCACCTGCAACTCGTCCAGAAATACCACTGGCAACGGCAGAACTACCAGTGAACACAGGCCCTCCGAAAAAGCAGAAGTGAAGTCCAGAATGCCATAAAGTTGCTGAAATTCGGAAAAGCAGCAGGACCGGATGGAATTCTGCCAGAAGCACTGAAAACAGACTCGAAGATAACAGCGGACATGCTCACACCACTACTGCAGAAGGTTTGGAAGGAGGAATGGAAGGAGAGGCTTCAGGGAAAACAAATCATGTGCAGATCAAATTGCAACACTACGCTACGCTACACATCATCATAGAACAGACCATAGGATGGCAGTCAACTGGATCTTCATCTCAACTTCAACGACTTTGAAAAGGCATTCGACAGTGTCGACTGAGAAGTAATTTGGCAGACAGCTGCTTCAACACTATGGTTTTAGAGCCACTAACCTTTATCAACCTCATTCCACAGCAGCTATATGCCATGTGAGGATGCTACATGTTAAGTGATTCACAATGGAAAGCTGAATGATGCGTTTGAAGTGAAGACAGGGGACAGGAGTAAGACAAGACGAGGTTGCAGCCTACCACCACCGATCATCTTCCTGATTGTGGTGGACTAGATCATGCAGGGAACTGTGAGGAGTGAGAAGATGGACATACACTGGCTGGATCGATGAAGAGACCCTGGGAGATTCGGATTTCGCCGGCGATGATGATTTATGTCTAATGTCTTGTCGCAGAAACTCGAAGATCTACAGGCGAAAACTAACAAGTTGGCAGAAGAGGTGAGGCAGAGAAGATGGGACTTTAGGTGAACGTAGAGAAGACAGAGGGGATGCAGGTATCCTACAGACAACAGCAGCAACAACAACAACAATGAGCACCAATCACCATGAACGGGAGAAGTCTAAAGGAAGTTGTCTGTTTCACCTACCTAGGCAGAGCAGCATCGTTTCAACTACAGGCGGCACAGGCACAGGTAAGGATGTGAAAGACAGGATGGAAAAGGCAGCAAGACAGGGCTTCCTTCATTAGTCTGAAATCAGTGTGGAGATCTACTGCACTGCACTACACTACACTGCACTCATCATAAAGCGTGAACAAGATCCGAACTTTTAACACTAATGTCAGACAAGTCAGTCAGTGCTTCTATGTGATGGTTGAGAGACTTGGCACGTTACGAAAAGTATTTCCAACAAACTGCTGACGTACATAAACAGCTGCCACATACGCTGGCTCGTTACTGACACTGAAGATCAGATGGTCAGAATTATAAGAATAGGCAACAAGGAACTCTGGTTGTCTGTCTGTCAACGAACCAACCGACAACCTTTCACCCAACAAATATGCAGAAAGAAGTAGGAAGTGGAGATGAACTAGATTGGGTATACACTGAGAAGACCGACTGGGGACACCACACCTCAGGTCAGTTTCTCGAGTGGAATCGAAAGGGGAAATGACGAGTTGAGTGTCCGAGGGTGACATGGAGGAGATGGTGCAAGGAACAAATGAAAGCGTGTGGGCAGTCTTGGAGTCAGGTTGAAAAGACTGCGGAGAACAGAGTGCAATGGAGGCGTGCTGCTGAAGCCCTATGTTCCACTAGGAACCCAAAGGACAAATATTAATGATAAACTCTGTTTCAAAGTTGTAGAGTTACCATATTTTTCTGAACAATGTTTATCTGCCAAATATCTGAAGACTAGTTCAGTAGCTTTCTGTTTTATCTCACCTCTCTTGTGTTATCCTTTTGGTATTAAAATATATCTACTTTCTTTATGGTTATCCAAACTGATTGAAGACTAAATGGTTTGTTAAGTGATTGAACATTCCATAATTGTTTGTTGATATTCACTATCTAGGCTATGATACATCCTCTTAGTTGACTGGTTTAATCATGTAGCTTTCATTGTCTTGTTAGACAACATCATCAATATCAACTTCAATATGTTGTCAGGTGTCGGTGTTTCACAGTGAGTGATTCACTAGCCTTGTCTCTTGATAAAATGGTTTATGTGAAATGTGAATATTGAACATGAAAAGTTAGATATTATTTAGTTGATAATCCCATTGTCATGGTGTTGGAGAGTATATATAGCTCAGGTGGATTTTCGGGATTGTGATGCGTTCTTTGAGCTGGTTAGTAGTTGAATTGTGAAAGTTGTGTATCGTTTGTGAGGAGGTTCAATGGATTCAGGACACCATTAATTCATCGTTGTCTATGTTAATGGCGTTAATGTTTATCTAAAATTCTATCGGCTATTTGATAGAATCTTCACATAACTTCAGATGATTAAATCACCTACTGTGCATCAGTCAGTCCTCTCTGTCCTATTTTACGATGATAAAATTATAGGGAATAAAAATATTATAAGATTTTGACCACAAGTGTCTTCACGAGTATTGTGGAACCAAATAGTGTGTAATATTGAGCTTATGCGTAGGATACTACTAGGCAAGTCAATCAATGA